AGTACTAATTCAACAATATTTATTAGGTGCTGCATATGAGCTAAAAAGAGCAAAGAGCAAAGACTTGCCCTCAGGAAGCCTCTGCTCTTCACTTGCATTAACTCCTGTAAAGCTTCTTCAAGAAATCATCCTGATCTCACCAAGTTGAACTCACTCATCATTCCCCCAAGAGGTGCAGAGAGCACAGTCGCATCTCAGCATGCAATGCTGTACTATCATTTTCTGTGTTTGTCACTTCTCCCGCTAGTTTTAAGGTCTCTGTGGGCAAAAACATATATCACCATAGTTTAATAAGGTCTGGCACAAAACAGCTGCTCAACAAACTGCAAGAATAAATTAATAACTCATACAATCAATATTTGTGATTCCAGTTCTGCTGATGGCAGAAGAATGGAGTTTTGATTGTAGGGACAGACAGTGTCAGGGCACAGCTTTACTCTTCAAACCCTACTGCCATTACACCAGAGACCAGCACACATTTTGGTTGGTGGGCTACAGCACTGAAGGACAGACATCCTGCTGGATGGACGTTCAGAGGACTGGAACAGAACCCTGGCTATTCTGGCCAGATCTCTTATCTTAGGATGCTGCACTCCTAGCACATTCTATAGTCGTGACTGAGAACCACAGCAGAAAAGGAAAGACAATTCAGTTGGTGCAAGGTCACATGGAGAACTATCCTACAGAAAGTGTAGCCAGTCTAAATATAATTCTTCATACATTCTTTAAAACCCTTCAGAGGAGTGGGCCTCACTACAATAGTCACCCTACCATCCTGGCTTACATTAGCAGGTAAATAGGCCATGCTGGAAGCAAGGGAGCTTCCCACAGGCAGTAATTGGGAAGAGCATACTAAAACTGAGCCAGCTAAATGCAGAAAGTTATGTTGGAAAATCATTTAAGACACATTTATTAGCCTGCTGCATTGGAGCAACCAATGATGAGAGCTTGAGTAGAAAGCTCAGTGTACAGACAAAAACCATGGAGAGGGCCTAAAATCATGACAAGGGCCCAGGGAGATGGGGAAAATGGAAAAGTTGCCACTTTTCTTTCACCAGCTTTCTGGTTTCAAGTTTTGCCAAATGGTATGAATTCACCTGAGAGTGTTGGAAGATACCCAATATCTTTACAATAAAGCTTCTTATATTTAAACTATCTTTAAAAAGTTTTGTTTCTTTCAAAGAAATCATTCTTAGTGATGATAAAGAACAAGGATGAAAATGTTCAGATCTTACTTTACTAAGGTGCTCTTTCACAAGTAGAATCAATTACAGTACGTTCCTGTTTTAGTCTGATAGAACTTCTAGTAGCTACCTTGTTTTTCTAATTTTAGTATTTATATTACTTCTTAGTGAACTATACAAGTTGTTCTGACAACTTATAAAAATACTGTAAATATTTTTTAAGATTATCATTTAAGGATCAATTTTTGCATCCCTACATTTTTTTTACCAAGGATATAAAATAAAATTAGAACAATCTCACTTAAAATAATATAATTTGTAAGATAAAAATAGCAAAATTGTTACAGGATGTTAAGAGACAATAAGCTGAATATATATCTGATTTTAAATACAGAGAATATGGAAAAGGTATCTTAGAAAAATAGGTGGGTGTGTACACCTATATATAAATAGATGTAAACATACCAGAAATTTTTCTTATGTATGCAGAACAAACAGATAAATAAAAATGTAATCTCAAAATTATTCTTAATGTTTTATTAGTACTACTAACATATTAGTCAGGGACATATGAACCTTATCAAATAATACAGTGCATTCATATATATGCCTTAAAACTAAAGAAAACAAATCTCTTCAGTAATCTAAATATCTTATGATTTACTATCTTAAAATTGTATTTTTAGTATGTTTGCATAATGATTACATTAAAATCATATTCTTGTGAGAAAACACTCATTCTTGGTGTCCCAAGTACAATCTCTAGTACTAACTTGTGTTGAAAAGCTTAGTTGGGAGAAATTTTCCTAATGCTTTATTATGTCCTTCATAAGAACATCCTAGAGATCAAAGCTATGTCATTTTCAGAAAATCATAATTGAGACAGAAAGCTGAAAATAAGTCACATTTTACCGAAGACAACTACCTGAAATGAATGCACTAACAATTTTATCTTGTTTCCATCTCTCCTTTCCTTCTAGTACCAGTAAATGGTACTCAGGTGCTAGAAGGAAAGGAGAGATGGAAACAAGATGAAATTCTCACTGGATCCCAAAAGGTAGGCTCTTTTATTAGTAGTGTTAATGCTAAAAGTTTTAAACACACTCTCTCTTCTGCTCATAAGTAACAATTTAAATCACTATATTTATAGCTACACATAGAATAACTAAAATATCCTAAGTAGTAGGAACCAGTATTATCCATACCCTTGGCCTGGTGAATTTCTCTGCTTCCTATATATAAAATATCAACAAGGGTTACACTCTTATAACTTATTTTGCTTGAGAAAAGGATCAAAAAGAATGTAGAAACATAAACAGAAAATTTTCCAAGAGATCCTCTATCTACAGAATTCATTTGTATCTGCTCTGAAGTCCTGAGCTGTCCATATGCATACTGGTTGCTGCTGAATTAGAGGCTGATTACATTTTAAATCATTCTGTAAGAGAAAAATGATGACATTTTATGATGTTAAATATAAAGTATGAAATGAGCATATATACAAAAGTTCTCTAGAATAAATGGTCATCGTTTATATATTTTTGTCGAGTTTATGAATATACAAATCCAGCACTGCTGAAAAGAACAAGGAATACACCTAGAAAGTAAGAGAAAGGAAATATCAGAGATGCATGCTGTTATCTTGAGGGAGACCTGTGAGAACTGCTTAGCTCATGGTCTCTCAAGCTGAGGGGGCACCAGTTTGTGCCAAACATTCCCTCTCTCTGCCAATGCTGTGGCAACTCCATTTCTACCCCATTCTCTGTTAGGGACATTTATAATTCATTAGATCAGGTCAGTGCAGATGCTAAGTGAAACAGGAAAAACAATAGCTATTCTAAGACCCAGGGGTATTAGTAAAGGCTGCTACTGTTGGGCAGACACACTTCATCTTCATCCACAATTATGTTTCACTTATTTATAAACAATTTTTTTGCAGAATACTAAAATATATCATCTATAAAAACTAATTTTGATTTAAATCAAAATGCTGAAAATGGTCAATTATGTTTTCAAGTTTTCACTTGGTGTGAAAGCAAACAATTTTGAGAAAATTTTATAAATTTCAATCAAATATAGTTAGAACATCAGCAGCATAAAAACAACAATGAAGTGCTCTTTTATGCAAGCAGAAAACCAGTCTTTACCAGTATATTTTAATAAAGCAACTAAGCTGCAAGACATATTCCATAAAGATATGGATCCAAACCTCTTTTACATTTGGGGATATCCTTTGTAGAAGGTTTATTTTCCATGTGCTAATCTATTTAGTCTCATACAAATTGATGTTGACATAAACTATTACTTAAAAATTTTTTATTCTGCGGTACCAAGAACTATGGAAATGTATAAAGATCCATGTAAATGATAATAATCTTCCACTGCATGGGACAAGTAGTCTGAAAATAAGAAGTTTGTTTCAGTAGGTTCTTATGGTGGCAAAGATGGCTAGTGAATTGGATTAGACACTGAAAGTTGAGATAAAAGCAGATGGACTTGGGAGTAGCTTCCAGAGCTGGTGCTTGCAGCTTTGTACTGTCTCCTGAAAGCAGTTTCACAAACTCAATACCAATATATAAGACTAGACAGCAGTTCCTTAATGTGGAGGTTGTGCACTGTAGGATGCTTGCCAGTATTTCAGGTCTCTAACCAATGGTGTCAGTGGCAGCATTAACCCCCAGGGTCATAAGCAAATTTGTATTCATGTATTACTTTAAATGAGCCAAGCTCATTCCTATTTCCTGACTCCTTCCCCACTCTCATTCTTTCTATTTGAAAGGCTAATTGGGCCAATAATTAAGTTCTGTGACTGGTTCCTCAGCATAACTGTTCTGGCCTACTCTGTGAGGCCACCCCTAATCATCCTGTGTAAAGTTGCACCCACGTCCATCTGATCTTTAGCCCACTACTTACCATAACAGAATACAAAACAAGTATGAGACTACATAAAGATCAGTATTTATGAGAAGGGTGCCTAAATGGCAGGACCATAAAATTTAATATATGAGGCCACAGCAATCCTCCTAGATATTCTTATGTACTACATTTGCCTGTATCTTTAAATGTGCCCATTCTAAGGCACCATTCACTTTTTCTTCTGGAAGCACTGGTAACATTATCATCTGTTTGTGGGTACTGTATACTTGTTCAGTGAGCCTTTACAAAAACTGTACAAAACCAGAGCATCTTTCAGTAGGGTGGGAAACACAGAGCCATTTAAATTGCTCAGAAGAGCATTAAACAGCCAACCTACAGCTAAAAACAGCCAAGTCAAAGGAAACCCTCACCTCTTCTATTTTGTACACAAGGAATCACCATTATGTTAAGCATGTTATATTTATTTTAAGTGGATACATAAGGGTCAATAATTTTGATTTTAAAATAAAAACAGACAAGATAAGAACATGACTTAAAAGCAAAAGGCTATAATAAATGAAATGTGAAAGTTAAATCTATTCTAATCAATCAGCTTTTAATGTTTTTATGTGAATGATAAAATTCATTCAGGTCAACCATGTGTTAGATAGTTAAAAATTGGAAAATTATAGAGTAATCAGTCATCCAAATACATTCCATTCAATTCTCAAAAAGAGTAATCCACTTATGTCACTATGGCCTTTTTAGCTACCTCCTGGAGTTTTTTCTGATATCAGTACTTTGAACATATCTTTTGTAATACCATTAGTACTACATTTTTAATCAAAATCACTGATTTTAAAAACAATCCTTCATCAGAGCAATTAATAAGAACTTTTGGGATGGGCAAATGAGAGCCCACAGGTCAGTGTAGGAGTAAGAGTAAAAAGCTGAGCGTACCAGTTGTGCACCATGAGCTTCTGCACAGCCAGGAGAGCGTTGTAGCGGACCTGCTGGTCTTCATGATGCATGTGGTTCATTACCAACTGCTTTCCACCAAGTTGCTCGATAACCCTGCAGAATGGAAGAGACATGCTAAAAACACTGCAATGACTCTGAACACATGCTGTTCATAAGCAGAAAGTTCAAATATCAAAATGCCAAAGGATTTTCAAGAAAAAAGTTACGACAGAAGTAAACCAACATATGCACCCTGTTACATTATTTCTTTGAATTACAGATTTAAAATATTCAAGTATGTTCTCTTTTGAATTCCTAAGGATAAATCCAACTGTTGTTCTCATTTCTTAGTTGGAGAAAGGATGGGGGACCATCTATCTGGATACATCACAAATTGCTACTTAGGTAATAGTTTTCTGGGTGCTTAGTATCAACTCATTACCAGTAGGGACTGTAGCTCAGTGTTATAGCGCTTGTCTAGAATGACCATGGGCCTAGGCTCAATCCTCAGTAACACAAATAAACAAATTAGTATTTTTGGCTTGCTTAAAATCAGTAGTGAATACAATCTATTGTTTATAATAATACGAAATCAGTATTAAGTCTACCAGTTACCATGCTCTATGATGATAGATACAGGCTTAGATACAGATAGCAGGGGACAGAGGGTTAAAGGGCACCCATGTTAACTTCCTGGAAAAGGCCTGATTTTTTTTTTTCCAGCTTTGAGTTTATTGGTACATTTTAGGGATACAGTACAGTTACATTCATTGTTGGGATCTTGTACCTCTACATGACAAGTCTTGATATATCTGTCCATTTCTCAGAATGATATGATAGGTGACTGATCCCCTAGGCAGAGGAGCAGAGGAGAAAATTCACGTGTTGAAGAGAACCAAGAAAACTGACAACTAACATTGTTTGCCATTGCTGCACCCTTGAAACCCCCAAAATTCACTTACTACAGATACAAAAGTAAAGTGAAAATGGTTATTTGCTTTATGAATGATAGAGGTACTCCATACTCTACAGTATTATGGTTATGCATAAAGCTATGGAGTCTCTAACTCCAGTTCGACAGTGTGGATTTCCCTGTCCATTCTTTATCCACCAGTACTGTCTGAGGGCCAACACTTTTTGTCAGCAACAAGTGTTACCATAATAAATAGGGAATTTAGTGGTCTGAGACAACCTCACAGATCAGTAAGACTTCTTATTAGATTAAAAAAAAGAGTAGTTGGGTTTTAGGGAGGCTTTTATCTATACAACTTTACACATTTTATTGGAATAACTTTTAAGTATACTGAATGGAGGAGGGAAAGAATACAATATAATAATAATCAAACATTAACTGAAGGTTACTATGTGTCAGGTGCTGCACTTTGAAATATTATCTTTTCTGATGTCAGTTTATTAATCAAATATGTTACATTAGGCAAGTCATTTAACTAGTAAACTACCCCCTGCCAAACAGAAAGAATAAGAATGTTTCTATTACAGTCTTGCTATAAAAATTACAGGATACAAAGCTCATGTTCCTATAGTATTCTAAGCCTTAGTCTGCTGCCACAATGATGATAGTGCGAGCACATTGCTCCCTTCAATACACTCTCCTCACTACAGTCAAAGTTGTCCTTGCAAAGCTACATATCATTTCCCCTGCTTTAAACTATTCTGTAACTCCCACTGTTCTTACAAAAGGACAAAAATCCTTCAAATGGTCAACAAGGTCTTCACTGGCTGCTTTGGAACAGCATCTAGCTTCACACATCAGGGTTATACACTGGTTCTCTGGGCTTGCTCTGAACACGGACTGAGCTTGCAGCCAACAGCACAATTCTCCCTGCCTGAAGGAAGCTGTTACAACCAATCCAAGCTTTTTCACCAAAGGCATGTCACAGGCTTAAGACCTTACACAACACTTTGGCACTATGTGGAAGAACCATTTAAACAGCAAAATCGACATGAAAACAACAACAAAGACAGTCAAACAACACAGCCCTAAACAGACTGTGTAAATGACATTTGCTTATAGTGTTGAACACAAGAAGGCAAACGGGCTGGTTAGCTCAGTGGCACTGTATCTGCAAGGTCTTGAGTTCGATGAAAGAGGGAGAGGGAGAGGGAAAGGGAGGGAAAGAGAGAGGAAGGATGGAAGGAGGGGAAAGAAAAGAAGGAAAAAAGAAAAGAAAAGAAAGGGGAAAAGGAAAAGGAAAAGGAAAAAGAAAAAGAAACAGAAATAGAAAAAGAAAAAAAAGACAAGACCAGACAAGGCGGCAAATAGCCTGGTTCCACCTCAGCTGAGAATGTGCCCATCAATAGCTCAAAATTTTTACTGCACTACACTGTCCATGAATGACTCCAAAAGTGCCACAAATACTGACATGGGGTTACAAATTAATTTGAGCAGGTGATTGACTACCAATCTGGAATCTGCCAACAATGAGTATTAACACATAATTTCAGAAATCTGCCATATTATGTGTAAAATGTGACTGACTGGAAAACATAAAGTGGTCATATATAATTTACAATAATAAGAAGAACACATTTTCTGTATGTTGGGCACTGTGCTTGAATGTATCATAATTTTTATTTCTTGTAATCTTCATAATAAATGTATTGCCAAAGATCTTAAAAAGCAGGATTTTTGACATTATAAATCCTTTCCCTTTATACTATCTTCTCAAACTAGCACCAGCCAAGAAAACTGTGAACAGCTTTGCTTTTAATAATTAATATATTTGTTAGGGGTTAGGGATGCACTCTGTGGTAGACCTTTTGCCTAATATGTGCATGGTGCTGTGCTCAATCCTCAGAACTGCAAGAAAAAAATATATCTTTTACTTTCAATCTATGTGTTACATGTTTCAAACTACTGAAAGTCCCAGAGTGTGGATAATCCCACCCACTAAAATCATTGCTATAAAATAGCCATTTCTTGTGTTTTCACCAACACATACATGTGAAGCACCAATTATTTCCAGGTTATATATGTCTGATATCAGAGATGTTTGGAGAAATTGTGAGAAAATAATTTTCCACTTGTCAGATTACAACAAAACATCATTTCATAAAAGTATATCTTGATGATTTAATTTAGAATTAGATTTGAGGAACTAATAGGAACAACCTTTCAAAACATATTGAGTCAATAGCAATTTACCTTTAAAGACTGGAATATCATAACAAATGACTAACAAGCTCAACTCTGGTGAGAACGTTTAAGGAATGCATCAGCTGGCAAAGGAGAGAAATGTAATTTTAGAGTAAACTTTAAATATCCTAAAAAGCAGAGAACTATTTTTGTTTATTCTAAAGATCTTTTTTCTTCTCAATTCAGATGAATTTATATAAAATATCCTGATAAAGATTCTAATGTTTAGCATTGTATTTATGGCTGTTTAGAAGCTAATTTAGAAATTATATCACCTATATATGATTCTATACATACTATTTTTTAAATTAAGTGTCAGATATTATTCCATTAACAAGACAGTGTTATACAACAATGCGTCCTCTAGTGTCCATAAATTCAGTGAGCATACAAACCACTTCTATTTTGCTCTCCTTATAATTAGGAAGAGCTTCACTAATATTTTTTTAAAAGAAAAAGATAGTTTAGGAGAGTGTTTACCAGATTTCTAAAGGGACGGAGCTCTTTCTAAGCATAAAAGTAGTGGAAGAAGCTGGGTGTGGTGGCACATGCCTGCAATCACCAGCATTCTAGAAAGCTGAGGTATAAGGATCCAAAGTTCAAGCCTAGCCTAGGCAAATTAGTGACTTGGCAAGACCCTGTCTCAGAATAAAAAAGGGCTATGGATACAACTCAGTGTGAAGGTTCTGGTTTCAGTCCCCAGTATCAGGGGTGGAAAACACAGTGGAAAAAAAAACTACAAAGTTTCCCTAGAAATGCAAGCAACATGGGGCAATACTAAGAATGGTGCTCAACATACAGGAAATGCTCAATAAAATATCAATAAATCCATGAAATTCTATGATTTTCACTAAATACCTGAAATATATGGTAAAAAATTATGAACAGAAAAATTTAACATAATGTAACAATGTTAATATTTAATATAAATAAAAACTCTAAAAATGTATATGTCAAGTGTGACAAGTATTATTCCTAGTAAACCCTGCAAATAGCTAAAATATAAATTAAAAGTAGCAGATGCCATTTCTTATAAGAGGTTAAAGAGAAAGGACTGCACTTAGTACTGCTGACAGCATGGTAAAAATGATGCTCTCATATTGTTGCTAAGAATTTGAATCGGTCTACATTCAACAATGTTTTTAAAATCTCAGTAGTATTCATATACTTCATCTCAGTAAGCCGATTTCAGAGAGCAAGCAAAAAAAAAAAGTAATCAGAATGCAAAGATGTTCATTCTATCTTTAAAATAATAAAAAAGAAGTAGTAAGAAGAGTAAACTGAAATATATTCTTTAATAAAAATTCTACTGTAGGCCCAGTAATATACATTTCAAACAAACTCCCTATTGATTCCTCCACGTTATGAAATCCCCTAGGAGAAACAGTATCACTTAAAAGCAAGAGCATAAACATATTCTGACAAGTTAAAACTCTCTGTAAGTTTATGACATGAATACTGCTTTTTATTTTAAAAACAAGTATCAGGCATTAAGAGAAACATACTTTTCAAATAAATGTATGAATATATCTAAACATTTTCCCTCAATTCATTATTTAAACTTTGTTATTTGAAAAAAAAGATAATTTGACTATAAGCTTTAGAAGTTGTATTTTTAAAGAAGTAAAGCAACCAAAAAAAGATAAAAAGATAATTTATTAAATGTCTACAAGTTTTAAATCATTTTAAATTTAAAACTAGATAACCTCTGTAAAATTAAATTTTACTAAGATTTTACAATTGTAAATTATTGAGATGATCATTACTTTTCAAGACCTTTGCATAAAAATGGTATTAAAATAAAAAATGCTATTTCTGGCATTTCGTTAAATAACAAATTGCTAACCACCAATTTTGGTAAAAATAGTCTAAAGAATTCTGAAATGAATTCTACTATGTATTACATGTGTTACTCTCCTAAATAAAAATTCAATGAAAGAGACAGAATTACGGTATA